TAATCTGGCAGAAGCTGACCGACGTTTCAGGACTGCCGCACTGATGATGGAGGCAGTTACGCAACCTCTAAAACGTCGGGTCACCTTCTCGTATGAGACTATGGTCCGCGACTGTAATCTTGAGACTTGCGGGGGTGAGGAAGTGGAGTGAAGCATTCCTTGTTAAGTCCCAAGATTACAGTCGCGTACTGTACACAGCCCAATATCTCATAAAACTACCCTTTTAGGTTTTTTTATTTCTTTCTCACTCGCTGGATTATCTAATTTACTTATTCGCTGATTCCTTCCCCCCCTCTCTCTCTCTCTCTCATGCTCCTCCTTTGTCTTTTAGTCCTTCGTTTGAGTTTCATCTCGGACCTCAAGATGTCCAGCTTGCAGGTTTACAGACTAATCTATTAAACTATCCGAGCTCACACATCACTAATTATTAGTTGCAGAGAAAGTCTTATATTTACGGCGAAACAAGGTTTGCCTACAGATTCGTATTATTAGGCTGCCCCAAGACTTGGATTTGCACAGGCGTGTCTATGGCCGCGTAAGACCCAGCATTCATGTCAAACAGCAAGCCTACTTGTTAAGTTAGAATACGAAACCTCACGACTGGTAAGAGGCGAGTGATACGTCACTCTTGCGCCAAGTCGTTTACATATAACGACCTCTAATTATATACCTTTTACTCAGTCGAAAATTTCAAACTTCTTTAAGTGGTGGAATTAAACTTTTGTACTTTCAGAAACCTCACAGGGGGAAAAAAATCTCTGTAAAGGATTAATCTGATGATCTAACTAAAGAATAGTTTCATTATTATTATTATTCTTTCTTTTTTTTCAGAACCTTGAACTTCACATCAACAAGGCTGTGGGATCCTTACGCCATTCGAGGAGAAGATTTGGCGTTTTAACTTCAGATATGATGAAATAATACCACGGTTTAACGCGGGATCCTATAGCAGAAGAAATCTTCTATTTGCTTTACGTGGCTAGAGTTGGTTAAAATGAAACTGGCACATTACAGAACAAAAGGTATTTAACGATTGTGAATCAATGTCTTCAACAATTAACCGGAGACTAAGACAGGTGAGGATTTGGACGCATAATGTCTTAAACAATGCCCTACTCAGATCTAGTCACGAAAACGAGATGCACAGTAACATAAAAACTAAAGAGAGAGTCTTATAAAGTCAAATTACGATAAAGATCGGTGTATACGATATAATTTCCAATAATAATGGGGCACACTATACTGATGAACTCATAAATTCGATTGTTGTGAAAAGTAATTTAACGCACAAATAAACATATTTATAACATGTCTGAAGAATCCATAGCATTAACACAGGGCGTGACTGATTTCGATGTAAGGAAAGAGACGAAAGGAGAGATGGATAAAGTAAGAACAAAGGGAGGAATAGATAAACGAAGAGGATTAAGAAGGAAAAATAAATAAAATGAAGGAAGGGATATAAAGGCAAACGATAAACAGAGAAGAAAATATAGGAGAAAAATAGAGGGCATGAAGGAAATGAAGAATGGAGAAATTAAAGCAGGAACGGAGATAAGAAAAGTGGGTGTGAAAAAACGAAGGATGGTCGAGTAGCCAACCTCATTCATTCGAATGACCAATCCACAGAGATATTTCCTGTTCTTATGTTGTAACAACGACAAGTGATGTCGGTACGTTCGGTCCGACCGTCTCCATGACAACTGTCCGATGAGGCACGTCTTCGTACTGAGGCATGCATCATCGCTATTTTGAGACGAATCACCACACACCCAGTCGCATCGAACACGGGAATACGAACGAAGCTCCTCTGAATGTAATTTAATCAATCCCTTTATTTAACCTCAGATATATCCAAAAATAACTTGGGCCCACTTACGATCTCAAAACACTGCTATTATCCGCGTCAGTTTAGTTGGCGTCGTATCGCGATAAAACTGACCTGGATTCGGCTCATAAAGGCTTTGCTCATTCAACAGGGAGGCAAAACTTTACCCACTCATGTATTCACCAACAGAAGGCTCGTACTGTACTTATTATGCACTGCAGTAGACAACAGAGCGGGGAACTATACTTTAAATTCAAACAGAAATTCATCCGCGTTATTAACCGTCAAAAGCCTAAGTTTTTCTCTGAGTTTCCTTTGTTTACTGCAGTATAAAAGCCAAGCATATGGGTCTCTAGAAAGTTGAATAATAAAAAAAAAACATTATTTCATGAACCATTAATACGGAATACAAAACGACGTTCCACAATTTCTGAAACATGATCGTCTTTGCAACAATGGATTTGCATCTGCAATAAATTAACATCACGACCAGTTAGATATTTAAAAAAAAAGTAACTGACAAAGCATGTGGAAAATGGACATTTATTTGTATTTTTTCAGTGTCTTTGACACACACTGTTGTGCAACAATGGGGAAACACTCTGCGTTTGCTTTTTGCGATAAGCACTGAGCGCATAAGGTTCTCTGTACGTCATTCTTCATGGAAGTTGTACGTAACATTACAAGAAAGTGAACGAGTTGTTTGTTGTATATGTCAAGTCCGGATGTTTACTTCGCGCGGATGCTTATTGCGAGATATTTATAATTTTATCACATAAAAGAGTATATATGAACTGACTTCGTACATTGTTATCCATTTCTACCAGAAGCAGGGACCAAAACAACGCAAGTTAACTCAGACAATAATTGAATCACCAGAGTGGAAGGAGCGTTTTAGACCCAGCTGTCTGCCACCGGTGCATTATTAAACAACGTTCGGTGCAACGATTTATAACATTGATGTGAATCCAGTATTTTGAAACATCTGGCAACGAGGCTAAGTGATTCACGCTTCGTACAACATAACTAACTTAAAATGGGTTATCGTTCCTTCACGTCGTAACTTACTTAGCGTTAAATGGGACAGGTGAAAAGAAAAATCTTTCCACAACCATACAAACCATGAGACTTTTCAAAGCCACATACTGCGTTGCCATAGAAACGAAAGGGATTTTAAATATAAAACAAATACGTAAACAAAGGTCACATTTAAATATACACTCCCTCCTAAAAATCTTGCGGTCACACTAAAAAATGGTCTCCAATGTCAGAACAGATCTCAATCAACCAATCATTCTGGACTCACCCTGGCAACAAATTTACAGCTCGGTGATACAACCGCAGCCAACTCGCACAAACAAATGGCTACTGTTTACATTCACAAAGCATAAACATCCTTTATAAAATGAATTAACTTCGAACCATTCATGTGAAGGATGTACACACTTTAAGAAACAAGACAAGATCTTAATATACCATAACCAATAAGCTTTGTCAAAACTGCTGACGGCTACCGAAACCAACTGTTTTAAAACACCCTGTGAACACAGAAAAACTGGGCCATAATTGTTGGAATATACGTCAAAGTAAACAAGAAAGTTATGACGACCCGAAAATTTGGAAACAGGGCCAAAAACCATCCCTGCAATCAGATTTAACCTAGTTTCAAACGTAAACATGTAAAATCTGTGATTTTACTCAAGCATCGCGGCCACGGGGGCAGAAAGGTACAGATTATAACCGCGGAGACGGCTTAAAAAGACCTTGGACAAGAGACAGGGTGTGCCTTGGCACAGCGACTAACAAAACATGTCCACCGTCGGTATTACAACCTGCGACCAGTAATTTTATGGCGACAATACAGCAGGACATTAATGTACAGAAAGAATTTAAATTCAATACATTTCATCATAACACATCCTATCTGTTTCTTACGACTTAATTCCTATTCTAAAGCAACAATTCACGTGCAATCGAATAAACTGTTCACATACGATAATTAAATTTTAAATACTATGTAAGTGTTTTTTTAAAAAAAATGGTGTGCACCTTCGGTGTCACATTCGACGTAGTTTCAAAAGAATGCACATACACAACAAAGCAAATTTGCTTCTACTGACATTCTAACGATGCAGATAATATAACTTCAAAAATTATAACGCGTGCCGTAATCAGATAAACTTTCAGGGACACGTTTAGAATAATTATTTCGAATATCTTGTGGTTTAAATTTGCATTACATTTCGAAATAGCAAATTCAGAGTATTTTAATTTTCTTTCTACAGACTTTTATATTCAGAATGTTTAAAGTATACATCGTCATCTGGTTCATTACGACCAAAGTAACTGAAAATACGACCTTCTCTTTTGAACAGCGAAATTTCGTCCTTCAGAATTCCACTTACTTCATGACTGAGGTGAAAGTATGTCAATTTTTATTTCGAAATAACAAACGAACGATGCAAAGTCATGACGTGAGATTCATTCGCTAAGAATCCCCCCCCCCCTTTCCACAGCGACATTTATCTTAACACGACGTTCTGTAGCGTCAGATCTCTTACCTTGCGAAAGGATGATCCTCAACTTCATAGAAATTCTCGATGGGTTCCTGACAAATCAGTCGATTTATCTTCTCATCAGTCAGCTCCAGATATCCCGGGATCGAAGACTTCTTCATGTCAACTTCCGGTCCTCCGCTGTGTATATTATTAAAAGGCCTGTCTAACTTCCTGCTACTTCCGACACCAAACACGTCACGCATCGTCGAAACAGAAACTCCACTGTTGTGAAAACTTCCAACAGACACACAAATCTTCTCACAAGTTCACATGCAAGTGCCAAGACAGCAAATTAACTTCCTTCGAACAAGATAACTCCCTGAATACGATGATGATTACTGTAATCTCTCTCTCTCTATATATGGACTTTTGTCACTTTGATAACAATAATATCAATTGTCTTATCACTTTTTCACAGTTCTTAGCTGATATAAACACTTTCCTTTCTGAAATCACAGAACATACGAAGATGAGCATGCAGACCACAATGGCGCCCTCAAATTCCTGCCCCCGAGGAGCTGAATCGTTCTGCACTAAGAACGCCTCCACTCTCCACGGGAGCTAAGCAGCGAATGACTAGCGAATAAACGCACACCGCAACTTCAACATTTTTCCGTGGCGGCGCTGCTTGGAGCTGGAGAAGACTTTACATTCTCTCTCTCTCTCTCTCTATCTTCCAGAAGCCAACGCCGCCTTCCACAGCACCACAGTCTCAGGCTCCAGCTTGCGTGACTAAAACAAAACAAAACAAATTCTTTGGCGAAAAAGTATTGGAGTGGGGGTAAAATGCAGAAATCATTCACCAATAGAAACCATCCAAGCGGCTCCACAACATACTATAGTCTTCAAAAACATCATCTTCTGTAACTAAATACTTCTGTTAAAGAAAACAGATTAAAATCGACCACGGAGTTGGCTCAGGATCGTGGCGGGTGGCGGGCTTTGGTGTTGTCGGTGTTGGACCTGCGGAACACGTTTAGGATGCAACACACCACAACCTGGAACAGGTCATACTGACATCTTTCGAGGCTTTCCTCAGTTTTTCTTCCAAACACTGAGATAGCAACTTGAAGATATCATCACCTCTTCCAACCCACACCCTTCCCATTTCTACATACAGCCTTCGACATTTTAAGACTTGAGAGGATAATACAGCGTCGTTTAACAATTCAAGACGCAATGTATCAGGGTGAAGTTTGTGTGAGCAGTCAAAAGGCAAAGTAATTTCGTGGGTATTCAACATTATAACAAATTCAGAAATCTTCTCAGCCATCAGTTAAAAAAAATCGAATTTTTTCAGAAAAGTTTTTAAACACAAAAGCTTAAATGCTTATTAAATGTTGAGCAGGAAATCTCAAGGGAATTATTGAATGGATCTTGGAGAAATGGACGTGAACTGGTATGCCTCTTGTGAATATAAATCAGGGCGCCATAAGGTTCAAAACATCACGACGCGCTAAGTAACTAACAGCCTTCTGAAAATTTTGTACATACATCGGCGTTAATTACACAGTCTACTGAGCATTCAAAAGTAGAGCTTGTTCGAAACACGGTCAAGTCAGGATTTAATTACGATTTTATCGATTCCCCTCAGGACCTAAAGACAAATTATTTTTCAAATTTCCACTGTTTCTTCCTTTCAAATTCTTACCTATCCATCATTCGTGTGATGAACTTCCCACCGCAACAACCCTGAAGTCGGCCATCTTCGGACTCACCGCCGTTAAAACCTCAAATCCCACGTAAGTCAATGTTTGTAGAACGGACAGTAGGTTGCTCCTTTGGTCGGGTGGTTGTATAGCTACCCGGGGCAAGGCCGCCACATAGCAGCGGCCCTTACGAGAAGTGGAATGTAAGTAGAGAACGCAACGCCATGACGAGAGAGACAGGACAAAGGATTACCGACATCGGACTACTTTAAACGTTCCGGGTCCTCGAAAAAAATGGTCACAAATAATCTTTCGCTCTTCAGGGAACCCGAAAGGTTACTTCGCCCAAATTTGAGATTATCACGGTGGTGAATGTGGTCAACAAATTTCTAAGGAATGCATCGACTTCAGCTTCATGATTGAACCTTGGCCTACAAGCCTGAAGCACTTCATTTCCCTTCAATGTTGATCTGTTTCTTTACTCCGGACTAATTATTCATTCAGAATTAATTGTCTGGTTATTTCAAGAGGCAGCTATTCTGTTTATTACGTAAGCACAAATGACAATCGCGGGCCGGGGTCTGAGAAAACCTGTTTTTTGGCTAATCGACTCCAGAAAGTCTGACTTCGAGCGCTATTTCCAACGGACGTTTCGTCATCTCTCACAGATCAGTGGCGGAACCACTGAGGTCACTCGAGTTGTCACAGAAAACACAAGGAGAAAGGACGACACTCAGGAAGTAATCTACAGCTAAAATGCTCCTAATGCAAACACGTACATGGCCAATGAGTTAATATTAAAATATATTTTGATGGTAACAGAATTTCAGTTACTGCCTTCGGCTTCATATTACCTTTCAGTGTACAAATTGATTTAGTGCGTTTAGGCAGACCCTCGATACCAAGCGGACAGGCGACTAAGATTCTGGGTCCCTGCTGCCTCCATCATCAAGGCAACGACTTATGACAAATACCCCTGAAACACTGGCGCTACAACCGAGAAGACTAATCTTTGGACAACTAAGGTGCTTTTCGAAATCATCTATTACCAAGAAACCGAGTGTGGCCGTGGATGAAAGGGGAATTTGTGGCCGAGCAGTTAAACAAACTTCACCACTGCTACGCGACGAATTCCAGGCATCTCAAACTGTTACTTGGCGGCGTTCAAATTAGCGACTGCTCTCTTGTTTGTAAAACACTGGAACATCCGTCAGAGCCAGTGGAATGCAGGTGTGTTATTGGCATCGCTCACGGTTGGTACTCTTAAGTCCCCTTATATCGCTCACACAGACGAATGGATTTCATTGGAACTCGATAAAGCTTCATAGTGTACGTCACTAGAATTTCTCTACCGCACAGATTATGGATCGTAGGACCTTCAGCCTCCTTAACGACAGATCAATTGTGTTCCAATTCTAAAAATTTTAAAATTCGGGGTATATTTTCCTGTACCAGTCACTTCAATTACAAAATGAACTTCTGTGAGAACAATATGTTTGAATTGACTTCGCGTTAAGCCTTTGGTGTGCTTTGCAAGCTTTGAAACTTATGGTGATTAGATGAGCGGGGCATGTAGCACGAATATAAAAAATGTGAAATATATAACAAAATTTTGGTTTGGGGAAACATGAAAAAAATAGAGCAATCGGAAGACCTATGTGTAGATGGGAGAATAATATTAAAACGGATCTGAAGGAAACAATGTATGCAGATGCAAAATGGATTAAAATCTGCCAGGATATGACACAGTGGTGACCTCCTACGAACACGGGAAATGTTCCTTCCGGTTCCGTAAAAAGGCAAGGAATTTCGTAACTATCTGAGCGACTATCAGTTTCAAAAGAAAAGACTTTTCTCCACAGAGATCGTACGTAGCCTATGTTTCTAAGATATTTCAGCTCCGGATGTTACTCACAGCGTCGAATGAAATGTAGTGATCATGAAACCATAGTCAATAGAAATCTGGGAACTATTGACGTTGAACGTTTTACGTAGTAACACGTCATTCTACAAAAATGCGTAAGAAATTTTGTTGAAAATTCCAAACCCTTCACTGTCACTGTAGTGACTCTTGCATTCCATCGTCAGGGACATACAAAATTTGCTGACTTTTGAAGTTTCATGTTGCAACGAACACTAGCAGTTGCACGGGGTACCCCCTTGGCGTGCCTTATTTTGGGGGGGGGGGGGGTCGTCTTGGCCAATGACCTGCAGCAGATGTACTTAAGTCTGCCTGCTTCTTGCAAATTGTTACTGACAGCGACAAGTTGAAACCTGAGACGTAACGGAGTTTATTTTACAAATACTTAAATATTAGAACCTAACAGTACACCTCTGATCTGGCAATGTCCGACTTAGTACGTACTTGGTTTAAAGACTTGATAATTTATTGAGGTGAGTTTTGTATACAAATACTGTGGCAGACTAACAAACGAGGGACTTCAATTGTGTTAGACACAAATTTTCTACGAGGACTTTGGCTTCAAATAAATCTTTTTCTTTTTCTTTCGCTCAGCAATAGACTACGTTGCTAGATCAAGCACCGGCAGTCAGTCTTTGGTATCGATACAATATATTTTCTCTCGATTACATAAATTTACGAAGTCGCACTGTTCAATCATGTAGTGTTAGACTTAAGACAGTGAAAAGGAAATTACCGCAAGCGACAGGTAATCCAAATGAAATCAAAAAAACACGGAAATAAATGTGATAATGTAATAAAAATGGTATCGATTTCTAGATATTCGTAACATTACAGAATACGACAAATTCCCTGTGGGAGTACATCTCGCAAAATCGATATCTGATTGATTGATTGATTGATTGATCGATCTTTCGCGGCGCAAGTACTAGTTGTCAGTCACTAAACTTTCGACTTGTTTTGATTTCAAGTTTAGCACAAAAAGTTGCCGTTACGTCGAGGCGAAATTTAAAACTTCGTTAAAGAGCAGGTGACTTGTTCAAGTTTCGCGTTTCGTCGTACAAACAGCTGATGGAGATTTTCACAAATAGAAGGACACCACTTATTATTACTTGCATAGTTCGTGAGCAGGTACAGGAAAGGAAACGGGTGACAGTGGCAGGCAAGTAGTTCCGTCGGAATTATGTTAGAGGGCAAAGTACAGTGGTTCTGAACTAGTGGGACGTGTACCCCAGGGAGTACGTGAAATACATTTTGTTCAAATATTTAAGAGAAGCTAAGTAAAGGTATTTAACACGAAGATAGTTATTTAAATTCTCCTATATTTATCTTTTCGTGCTGTAGAATAAGTCAACTTTAGTCCTATTAAGATTTGAGATTCTCACTACAAAATATGTCGATGTTGGTCTTCGGGGTTCACGGTTGAAGATGGAGACAGCGTTTTTTTTTTTCCAAAACTTCGCTAGCTACGTAAGATCTACACGGCGATGCAACCTAGAACAGAAGCATTGACAGTCAAAATGACAACGACGATTCTAAGTTAGAGCAGAAAATTAGGCTACTCTTCCCCGCTGAATAAACACGTATTTCTCAGATGCATTAGTTACGATGTTACACACCTCATTGGCCCTTGACGACCAAAGATTTTACGACATATGACAGGTAAGCTCACGTCTTTGCGAGGATGAGCCGAGTCCTAATGCATTAAGATCCACCACCACCACCACCACCACCGCAACAGCGAACACTTATTAAGAATCGATCAGAGCAACTTACTTCGCTCTGAAGACAGATCGCGTTTGAAAGTGATAATCAATGTAGGGGGCAAGAGAAAAGAATTCACTTTTCGTTTTTCCTGCCAGAACAGGGGTTTTGCATTAAACACTAACAAGTACGGAAGGAAAAACAAAAGAACTATAAAACGCGATACAGTTCTTAACTAAGTCTCGTAGTCCTTAGGTAGAGGGGTGACAGGAGGGGACACACGGCGCCCTTCTTTTGTTTCGTTAGCTTGATCGTGCCTTCTTAAGGAGTTACCTTTCACTCCGACTTGTTCCTCTTTGGAATGCACAGTGATTTGCAAGGTCCAGGGAATATTTCTGTACAAGCAGTCAATTACAGTGCAATTCCACGACAAAGCATTTCTTACACGCTGAAAGTCG